GCACAAGAGAAGTTAAATGCTCACACTCTGTATGACTAATAAAGGTGGAAGCTACACACACACACATCCACACACACACACACACCCTCTCTGTGGCATTCTTCCCACAATGCCATACCCTGCCCTCCCATATAAGCTTCCCCCTTCCCATAGAATGGAACTTCTTCTTCCCAGAAATGAGCACAAAGACCAGAAAAGACCCTGCCTCAGCAGAACCCGTCCTAACCCCCAGGCTATCTCTGGTGCTCTCCTCATAGCCTGTGTTCACTTTTGCTCAAAGGTTAGAACACATAGAGATCAGAGGGTAATGTCAGGTACCTTCCTCTGTCAGCCTTTGTGTTATTTTTTTTGAAAGAGGATCTCTCTCTGAACTGGAGTTTACCAGTTCTGCTAGACTGTCTGGCCAGTGAGCTTAAGGGATCCATCTCTCTCCCTTGCCTTCCCTCCTCTGGGATTAAAGGTATGTGCTGCCATGCTTGGCTCTTACATGGGTGCTGAGAGTCTGAACTCAGATCCTCATTCTTGCCAAGCAAACACTTTACCTACCTGAGCATCTCTCTAGCTCAGGAGCAGGGACTTTTGGTCTATAGCTCCCATTTCACCATACAGGGATAAGGATGGCTTCCTTGCTGGGGAGTTTCATTGCTGTAAAATCCTATTCTAATGAGCATAAAGCAGGAGCGAGATGGAAGACAAAAGAAGATTCTGGTATCTAGGAGTGAATACCTAGAAAGGGTGTCCAGAGAGAATGACACAGGGCTCTACCTAAGGGACCTTGGCAGAGGACGGCTAAGTGTTCTGTGCCAGCCTTTTGTGTTCCTAGAGGCTTACAGTCTGTGGCTTAAGATTTCCCGAAGTCCAGATTCAAGAGCCAAAGATCATCCTCAGGTCCAGTGAGAAAGCAGCCAAGATGACAGGGTGGAGGAGGACAATGTCCTTGTGTCCCAGATGGGCCTGGGCATGTCTCAGAAAGCAGAGATGGACACAGAAAGGGACTCCTAGGAAGCAGACTGAAGACAAGCCCCAAAAGAATGTGGGGGTGTGCAGTGAGATGATCAGTAAAAGTACTTACTAGTCCTGTAAGCCTGGTGACATGAGTTCAATCCCAAGAACCCCTGTGAAGGTGAAAAAACAACAACAACAACAACAACAAACAACAAAACAATAACAACAACAACAACAACAACAACAAAAACAAAACCGACCCCACAACATGGTCTTCTGACCTCCATATATACACCCCACTCAATAATAGTAAATATTAAGAATGCAAAAAGAGCCAGGCAGTGGTGGCACACACCTTTAATCCCAGCACTCAGGAGGCAGAGGCAGAGGCAGACATATTTCTGTGAGTTCGAGGCCAGCCTGCTACATTGAGAAACCCTGTCTCAAAAAAAAAAAAAAAAAAAAAAAGGGCCAGGAGGCAGAGGCCTGACACCCCTGTACTCCACACCCCACCCTCTGCCCCACACCACAAGTGAGAACAACATGTAACTTTTCAGGGCCACCTGGCTGTAAGGAACCTAACCAGACTTTCCTAGACCTCTGCTTCAGAGGGATATGACCTTAGTCCTAGGGCATGGATTTCTGGAGAGCCTCCTGGGAGGGGGGCTTGGGATCTCCCGCCTGCGGAGGCCTCTCAATCCCCTGGAGGACCAGTCCCCCCTCTGCTCCCGCGCTCACACACTCTCACACTCACAGGCACACTCCTCTGACAGCTTCTACATTCGGAACTGACAGATGTGCAAGGTAGCAGCTCGGCACAGCCTGTGCAGCTGAGGCCCCAGCATCGCAAATGAAAAGGGATTATTTCCAGCAAGCTCAGGATGGCTGCCTGAGCA